GTATCATTAACTAAAGTCACGGGTTACTCACGTGAATATACTGAGAAAAGCTCTAATAGTTAAAGAACCCCTCTGTGGTTCGAAACTAGTAGAGCTTTTCTCAGTATATTCACGTGATTTTAGTCAATTTAGTATGTCTCACGATAGTTATTATAAAAACAGTTGTATCATTATTACTTCGTTACAGTTCACTGCAGAACTACAGTTCCTCCTAAATTAGACAGTTTCTCACTATCTCACTTGGTACCTAATGACGGTTGAAGATGACATTTTGAAGATTTATCTGGTCTTTTGTCCAATGTGTAGTCTATTACACCCAAATACTAGAAGGTTACTCAATTTTATGTTATATTTAAATATTGTGCCATCTCTGTGTAGTAACATAAAATTGTTAACATAACATAAATAAATAAATAAATATAGCGTTCCAGTGCCTTTAGCCAATCGCCACTTTAGCGCTTGTCTACCGGGAGAGTAGAGAACTATATGTATGGGGATGACACTGAAAAGTGTCAAAATCTACGTCAATCCCATATAATTTAGTTTTCTATTCTACAAGTAGACCAGCGCTAAATGACATTTGGCTACAGCTGCAGTATTCCAGCATTAGTCAGCTCTTGCGATATCTTCGAGAAGAATAGCAGTGTTAACTGTGTTATCACTATATGATTTTTTAAGGGGGGAAAATGATCTAATGACTTCTCCCGCCTGGGTGATGCGGGAGGGAGTGTCAGACTCTTACTGACTAAAAACCACCCTGTTCCTACTCCTGCACTTCGAGACGGAGCTCCGGTACCCCGTTAAGTCTTCCGCGATCGTTATCAGCATCCTGTGGCGGTCATTACACGATTTAACTGAAGTATTCAATCGTATATATTTATATACGAATTACGAAGTAGATAAGTACAAAATAAGTATAAACGGAATATCAGTACATACATCAATTCAAACAGAGTAGATATTATAGTTTTTTTCCTTGTAATTCTTGTAAATCGTAGGTTTCTATAGAAGTGATTTATTTCGTCATTGTGTTGAGGTGTAAATCACGCGTGTCTACACTGTCAGCGTTCCAATTAATTTAGTACCTTGTTGTATCATGATTATAAATGTCCAGAGACTATACTTTCTTTAAAAATATCGTTTTATTTATACCTAATACGTCATTTTTCAAGTAGTTATAAGACAGACTGCCTCCCTCGAAGTCTCAGTTCCGATTTCTGTATCAAGCAAGGCATTCTCAGGTTTGGTTTGAAATTGTGGTTCCATATTGTATGATCATTGTATTGATAACTTTGGCTTCAGATACTAAAAATATCATCATGGGACGTCCTGCACCAGCAAAACATTGTTCCGATAATTCCTATAAACCCATCGAAGCATAAACGTAATCAACATTAAATATACAAAATAAAAAAATACAGTCGAATTGAGAACCTCCTCCTTTTTTTGAAGTCGGTTGAAAAGTTATATACGTACGTACTCAGCCTGATTTTTTTAACACAGTATTGACGTCTAAAACTGATATTTTGTAATATAATTACAGCAATAAATAATAAATTTATATCAGCGTGTAGTCTCTGTTAACAAAATACTCCGTGACGCAACTCCGATTTGTCACTTCGTCACAGCGAGTGTGAATTGTCAAACACTTTCATTTGTTTTCGACGTCAGCCATTTTTCGTGGCTGACAAGTTGACAGTAATTAACGTATAAATAGGACGTTGTTTAATAACATACGTATGTACATTCTTGCTTGAATATGATTGTTTAAAACTACGGAAATCACGTCGTGTTCGTCGGTCATCAGAATCAGAATCACGACATTTTTGTATTCATAATGTATGAACGTGGTTTATTACTTGTCTAGGATGAGTTGTTCGGACTGCCTCATTGGCCGAGTGGTCGCAAGTACGACTGCCGGGCAAAGGACTCTCGGGTTCGATTCCGGGTCGGGCAAAGTATTATTAGGTTTTTAAAAAAAATCTCAGTAGTAGCACGCATCACACCTTTTTATCCCCGAAGTGGTAGGCAGAGGTGCACATTACGGCACTTAACTCGTTGAGTACCGTCATTGTAGACACAATTATAGAACAATAGGTTGCGGTCACCGGTGACCGCTTGGTGTTTGACAGTTTAATGCCACTGTAAAATGTAACAATCACTTTTCACTATTTGTGAAAAGTGTACTTATATTATCAATTATGAGACCTTGTAATACGGGGTGAGCCTATTGCCATATACCGGGCACAATTCCAGGATCCATGCTACTCATGAGATTTTTTATAGATCCAGTAATACGTGGCCCGACACGGGAATTGGATCCGAGATCCCTAGACCGGCAGGCACACTTGCGACTACTCGGCCGACGAGGCAATTTTATATTCATTTGTTCGATAAGCGCTTAAATGCCATTTGTCTTTATCTACGTTTACATTCTGAGTATATATAAACGAGATAATTTTTAGGATTAAGCACTTAATTTTTACATAACAATAAACGTTCACTTTAAATAATTTTATTTATGCATTTTTATGCAAAAATAATTAATTTGTCTTAGCATTTAGTAAAACATGTCTAACCTCCTTTAGTACGAATGCGTAGAATTAGGTAAAACGGTCAATTTTCGAAATTGTTCTTAATTCAAAATCGCTTTACTCGCGTGATTCGAAATATCCCACGTTTAGAACTATAAGGAAATAATGGCCAGTGCGTTATTGCACTATAACTGTTGCGCAACGTTTAAACAACTAGTTACGTTGTGAGAACGATAACGTTATTGAATATTAGGTCGGAGGTGTTGGTGACATGTTTAATAGCGGTTATTGTGATATCTGGTTATGTAATTGTTCGATAATTTTATGTAATTGAATATTTTCTAGTATAGAATGTGTTATCTTATGGACTTCAATGGATAGTCAAAGTCAAAGTCAAATCATTTATTTCAATTAAACCATAGTTTGGTACTTTTGAAACGTCAACAAATACAAAATAAATAATAGTCTGTCAGTCAGTCCGTCAGTGAAGCTAGATATTAGTACACGGTTACACCATATGCTTATACTATATAGTTTTAAGGTTATAAGATCTCATAAAAATACCTCATTAAAATTAAACCTTATTAAAAACACAAATCATCATTTTTGATATAATAATTTAAAAAAAATATATAGTTTACTGTCACAAAAATTTCACAATAATACATTCACAGAAATTCAAATTCAATATCTACTTTTTTCGAACTGTCAAAAACGACAGTTTTCTATGAATTTTATACGAGATTGTGTACTTTGACGTTACGATTTTTTAGCATCAAACAGCATATTCATTTCTTAACCCTTTAACCGCCGACAACGTAATATTACGGTTTTCGAAAGCTGTGTCCGAATCGCCACATACGTACAATCACGTTATTTTATTAAAAATCTTCTTATAGTGCACAAACTCCATATAAAATGTGTCAATTTCAAGATGTAGGGTATAATCTTTATTGTTATGGATATTTCTCAATGTTTTGAGTGATAAATACTGTGAAATTTGAGGTTTAATTAAATTGTGGTCACCGTCTCCATTATCTGTATCGCCAATCACGTAATTTTACGAGTACTAGGGATGGGGCGAATTCGAAAAATACTTAATAGGTTGTCTAAGAACAAACAAGGCACTATAGATATTACTGTCACTATTTGCAATGAAAGTGTATACTTTCATTAGAAAATAACCATAGTGTTACTTTGATGCAAGTATTTGTACTAATTAAAATGTATTTAAGTTTAAAATTATTTAATATTTATAACAATAATATAAAAATTTCATAACGCAGAACCGCACTAGTGCGGACAATCGCCGGTCGCCATCATCGTAATATTACGTGCGGCCAAGGAGATTATAGCGCTGTATTGTGAGTTGCCTTAGCGCCGTCACCGTAAAATCACGTTAAACATTTATCACTCAATGCAACTAGTGTTGTAAGCCCTTTTTTGGGTTTTTGTTATTTCTCAAATAAATCAACACAGTCAAAACCAAATGTGTCCATTATGCAAAGTTAGAAGATGGTGACGCAAAAGTTTTTGATCAGAGACCAAGTGATCCACGAAATGAATACTTTGCATCTTTAAAACCTTTTGAGCTGGAAACCGTACTGTCGGAAATCCGCTCAGAAGTTTACATGAAATTATTAAATTTAATACGACATGCTCGTGGAGCATCGTCACCGTCGCCAGCAGGAGAACGGACGACGCCGTGGCCATTTCCCGAATACACATTTTCGTACACTTCGTTTGAAGAAAATTATTTTAGATAGATTAGAGATTTTAGCTTATTTATTAAGTAGGTAAATAAAACATTGATTTTAATTAATAAAGAATATATGCATCGATATTAAGTGTTCCCAACACTGTTCCAACTTATACCTAAAGTGACGTGGCGCTGGAGGTAAGTTGAAAGTTCAGAATCTTGGCGGTTAAAGGGTTAAACATTTGCTAGAAAAATACTTAAACTGTCAAACACCAAGCGGTCACCGGTGACCGCAACCTATTGTTCTATAATTGTGTCTACAAAACCGGTACTCGACGAGTTAAATTAACATAACATAACGAAGGGGTAGGCAGAGGTGCACATTACGGCACTTAATGCCACTGTACAATGTAACACCCACGTTTTACTATTTATGTTATGAGTCCTATATAATAGGGGCTGAGCCTATTGCCATATGCCGGGCATTATTCCTGACTCCGTGCTACCACTGACATTTTTTTTAAAACCCAGCAGTACTTTGCTCGATCTGGGAATCGAACCCGAGTGCCCTTCCCGGCAGTCGCACTTGCGACCACTCGGCCAACAATTAAGGCAATAACAAAAATAATAAAATAAAAAAGGAAATTAAAAGGACTAAGATAATTTATGTGGAACGTGCCTTATATGATAGTTTATCAATCCCTTTTTTACCCTACTACCAAGCGTTGATCTTTCAAATACTTACCAAACAATATGTTATTTTCCAGGTGGAGTCAGGTCGCGAAGAACTGAAGAAGGAGCGGGAGATCATGCAGCTGGTGGCTGGCCTGCAGCTCGGCGAGGACGAGCGCCGGGAGATGCCGCATGTCATGCGTCAGAGACACGCGCCCAGGTTGGTACAACTCGACTCGACTTATTTGCTAGTTAATCAAGATATTCTGATGTCATTAGTGTGTCGGGTGTCCATGGGCGACGCCGATTGCTTACCATCAGGTGATCCGTCAGCTCGTTTACCGGCCTAGGCTATAAAAAAAATAGTAAGACATGAAGAACATTGACTGTACGGTTGCCGCGGTGGCTGGGTAACCAGCTACGTATGTATAATGAATTAGGTCTAAAGGCACAAAAAGAGACTATACAACTGGGTGAAGCCCAGTCGCCAAGCACCGCGGAAATTTGACTAAAAACTAAGTGGGTCCTATGTGTGAGCTGTTATAGGATTATACTTTATCTTGATGATTATTATATTAATCTCTAATGCCGGAATACTGAAACATTACTCAATTTTAAGTCGTGCTTAAATATCGTGCCATCTCTGTCATTTTACAAAGAGTTGTGGAGACAGAAAATTGAGAATTTAAGCGCGACTTAAAATTGAGTAGCGTTTGAGTATTTCGACATAAATCTAACAATTAATTGAACATTATTCACCAATTCCAGGTTTTGAATGCCACATTCATTAGATGTTGTCATAAAGAACCGGTTCCTAAATATTTGTATTTGGATCTACATATTTGAGAACCTCGTGATCACATCATTTAATAAATAATAAAGATTTTATTTTAGCTATGGAATGCTTTATCTTCTCCATTAAAATTCTATTCATAATTTTAAGAAATATAAATAAGAGAGTATGGTTTAGATATGATCTTTCAAAATACATACTTAAAGTTTGAAGCTCTTATTCATATCTTGATAACTTACTATCACTCACGATACAATAACAATATTGATGATTTTGAATAAACCATCTTATAGATGGTTGGCAGGCCACAACTGTGCGCTTTTCTCGTAGCTTTTTGCCTCGCACAGCAAAACTGTAGAATCATGTATCGTCGGCGGTATTCCCGAACCAATACGACCTTCACACCTCCAATAAAAGAGCGTATTCCTTTTTAAAAGGCCGGCAACGCACCTGTGACTCCTCTGGTGTTGCGAGTGTCCATGGGCGGCGCTGATCGCTTACCATCCGTATACTTGTTTGCCTATTTCATTATGGGCCAATTTTTCAATCATCAGATAATTCTTGTAGAAATTGACATTTGTTAGTTTTTAGTAATATACTCAATACGCGGCGCTGATCGCTTACCATCAGGTGATCTGTCCGCTTGTTTGCCTCCTATTCCATAATAAAAATAGAACCGACGATTAAGCTCTCTAACCTCGTTTTCGACACATAAACCTAAAAACCACAAAACAGTCAAAGAAATAGGTTTGCTTAGCTACCTATCCACCTGTTTGGCCTCATGAGAAAATATTTACATTATAATAAAGAATGTTTGAACTAGCCACTAGGCATTATTTCATTAACTTGAAGGACACAACAACCAGTTTGGTTTCTTCACATTAAAATTATTATATTTAATTACAAGCCTATTAAGTGTTTTGGCAATAACTCTGTCAATTACGTAAAGTACAACATTTTAGCTAAGTGGTATTTATAACTGTGGAAGCGACAGTCACTTCGTGTGCTTCGGAAAATGCAATTCATTCCCTATCCCGTAAATGGCAGAAAATCATGTTGAAACTTAATTAGTTCGAATTATGTAATTGTTTCCTGAACACAAAATCCGTTTATGAAATAGAAACTTTTTTTTATGGGGTAGGACGATAAACAAGATAATAGATGATAAGCAATCGATGGTGTCGTAATACTTACACATTAGAATCCCGTAACCCAAGAGTGCTTTGCTAGTCTTTTTGAATTAATCAAATAATTTTCAGCGTGCTTCTTCTTCTACTAAGAATATTTTTTTCTAAATTTTTCTTTTTTAATTTCCAGATAACACAACGCCACTGCTGAAAGGGCGCCATCTAGCGGCTGATAACGGGAAGCGCACCATCGGAGCCAATGAGCCAACAAACTTTACCTCGACCACGAAACAAAACGAACACAACCAAATAATTTGTGCACAATAATGACTAGGGAACTACATTTTGTGAAAATAACGAACTATTTAACTATAATTGAACGTTTTAAAAACGGTTTGGTGATGTTTTATATGGAAAGAGATACGACTAAGAATGTCTATGGTTTTGTAAACTATTCAATGCTGGGTTGAAGTACGATATTGGTGATTGAATAACATTCCAAACTACGAATAACAATATCTTAAAACAAAACAGCAAAGGAATGAAACGTGTCATTTATAAAAAAAAATGTAGTAACCCTATAAAATATAACAATCACATTACAAAACGAGAACGCGGCATATCGATACAACAAATCGTAGTTTCACTTAATCGATTTGTCACGAACGTTCTCGAGTTGTTGCCGATTATCGATTAATTACTTTAGAACTCCGTACCTTTATTAAAACAGGGTACCTAAGAAACTGTAATTTAATTTTTTCTAGTAATTAAATATCGATTTTTGATTCATGGATGTTGAGAAATAATTTGTGAGGAATTAATGGATTTGATGTTGTTTACGGCGTTTAAAGGTCCAATAAATATTGTAATAAGTATAAAATTAAAGGTTATGTTGTTAATATCATTTGTATATTTCATTTAATTAATTGTTTAGCTGTTTAGACCACGTTTCGTTATATATTTATTGTCTGAATCTATTTTATGTAAGTAAGCATTTTTTCTACCAATTTTTCTATTTACAAACTTTAATATTAAATACTTTAAACATGAGATACTTCAATCTTCATCGTCAACAACCTATAAGTGGTAATTGCTTTCCAAAGGCCTCTTCTCACACGGAGAATTTTTGAGCATTAATCACCACGCTTGCTTAATGCAGGTTGACGATTTCAAACCTATAATTAGAAATTATAAGCCGAGGTTTCCTCACGATGTTTTCCTTCACCGTTTGTCAGTTATCATAAGATACTTAGTAAGCATAAAGTTAAACTATTTCATAATTTATAAAACGTCACGAAATCGTGATGCAGAAACTACAATAGATAACATCGGGTGATAAAGTACCGAACGATCATTGATATCTTTTTATTGTAAAACATTTGACACGTAGAAATGTTAATTTAAAAATAGTCATTTGTTTGTAAAATTCCATATCCTATTTCTAGTTATTCATTGTAATTATTTAAACGATGTCAATGAAATAATGTATGTATATCGTGCGTTACAAAATGCACCAGTTCAATGAGTCTCTTGATTCTAGAACTTCAATAGTGCTAACAAATTGTACCGATCGTAGCCAGCCCATTCGTGCCGAAGCATAGCTTAGCATAGCTCTCCCACACTTTCAATATCTATAGTCAGCGATTAAGTATATAATGAAACGTGCTCTGAATATAACTATATGCATCTAGAATATAAGCACTATATAGTCATTTATATACCTATTTAATTGTGCCTTAATATCAGAGAAAATGGTTAAGTTAGGGAGTATTCCGAACGAAAATGTAAGTCAGATGTTAAGTACGTATTTATAGATATTTCAAAAATGTTTCGACAGTTTATTTTATAATTGTTTTGTTTTCAATACCAATGTCAATGTCATTAGTATGAAGGCCGTATAACTTAAGAGTTTGTAAGTTGGTTGTTTCGTCAAAATTACTAATCCATCTCAATCCGAAATCTCTGTATTTATCTTAATATCTTTTTGAGAGAAACTTTCAATCAATATGGTAGACGACTAATTTTGTTTTTAATGTCCGTCTGGTAGATTGTTTTAAATCATTAGACACGTATTTTTTATATTCTTACAGAAACAAATACTTTCGACGATATATTGATTTGAAATGTCGCGTGACGTCATTTCTATGTACATTTTATACGTAGAAATGACGTTTTAGCCCCCACACCTAAACTTTGATTCGTTATATCTTAGTATCATTTTATTATACAACAAAATAAAAAGAATATGCGTCTAATATTTTTTCATTACCTAACTGACGGATTAATTATATTTTTAATTTTCATACCCTGTCATTATCCCTATTAATCTGAAATATTCATTGCAATATAAAGATGTTTTTATTGAGATTGGTTATTAATTTTGGCTGCTAGCTGTGCATACGTACGTAGCCGAGAAGCATAATGTATGTATGTACATAAATTGTACTTATATTACTGTAATTTTATCATAAACAGGTCAAAGTTTATCGTTGAATTATGCACGCTAAGCTAAAATCAACCTTTACTGCAAACCATAAAGTTCATGACCTCTTTGAAACAATGTAATATTTAGATATATCTGTACTTCAATACAAAATAACGTTACTTATGATAAGTAACTTGTTAAAATTCAGTTAAACCGGTGTCAAACTGGACATAACTGTTTTGTTTACAAAGTTGCTTTTATTAAGGTTTCAAATATATTTTCATATACAGTTTGGTTTTAATGCGGTCTCGAGACTTTATATTGTGTCATTTAAAAATATTGAATACACATTTAAGCTACCTATTGATGCAATGTTAGCTTTAATACAACTAATTTAGCAGCTGTAGCCAAATGCCATTTAGCGCTTGTCTACATGTAGAATAGAAAACAAAATTATATGGAATTGTCGTAAATTTAGACAGTTGTCAGTTGTCATCTCCATACATTTTGACTTCTACTCTCTCTGTAGACAAGCGCTAATGTGGCGTTTGGCTACAAGCACTGAAGCTATATCCAAATGCCATTTAGCGCTTGTCTACATGTAGAATAGAAAACCAAATTATATGGAATTGACGTAAATCTTGACACTTGTCAGTTGTCATCCCCATACATTTTGACTTCTACTCTCTCTGTAGACAAGCGCTAATGTGGCGTTTGGCTTATAGGCACAGATTAAATACTTGTATAATTGCAGATCTTTTTCAAAACAGAAACGTTTTTTTTTAATAAAAATTAATTTAAAATAAATTGTCGAATCCAAAGTTATATCAAGGTCATGAATTCTAGAATTGTTTTGTAATCATGTATAGGATACAGTCTCCATCTATCAGTGACTGTGTGTGTTGCAAACCTGTTCATACTAATCGAAATAGGTTTAAGGATCAATAATTATAACAGCAAAGAAATTACCTGTAAAAATCTCCTTATTGTTGGTAATACCTGTGGTGACACCTACTGAATTAACTAAAAATAATGATTCACTCACGTATATGCAGCCTACATCGCGGTGATGTAAGCTGCGTAATTCCTCTGTTGACTCGAAACTAGTAGAGCTTTTCTCAACAATTTACGTGACAAAACTCCTTTTCATCTCCTTATTTGTAACTAGCTACTTCCGCGCGGTTTTACACGCTCTGCTCAGCTCCTATTGGTCGTAGCGTGATGTTTTATAACCTATAGCCTTTCTCGATAAATGCACTATCCAACACAAAAAGAATTATTCAAATCAGACTTGTAGTTACGAAGATTAGCGCGTTCAAACAAACAAACAAAAAAACAAACTTCCGCTTTATATAATAGTATAAGATAAGATGATTGCATGGCGTTTATTGATCTTAGACATTGCCGTCCCTACACTTCGTCACCTATTTTTACTGACTTCAGAAAAAGGAGGAGAGTAGAAGAAATTTGAATTTTATTGCTTTATCTTTGCGATTGATTGTTGATCCTATTCTTATTTCGATAAGTCACACATTTGCTGGTCGATTTTAATGGACAGTGGTCGCATTTGTATGAAAAGGCACTGTAAGTACCTTAGCAAGAGTTAGATAACGTGTGTACAAAACTAAAGTGTTAGTCAAAGGAATATTGTAAGTGGGTATTGTATAGGATAGGTAGGACAGAGTTACTAGTTGTTTGCATAAGAATTGTCGTTTGACATCACCTAAAATTCACTATATTTTTGGGCTAATTTCAAAAGTCAATTAACAATAATAAAGCTATTAGGTTTTTGGATAGAGGGTGACGTAATGATTGCTTTAAATCGTAACACCATCGTGGTTATCTGTAATGTTTATGATAGGTAATTTGGCTCTCATGAATATTCCAATTATCAGCTAAAAAGTAGCCCAATTTCGGTGTTTGGGGTGATGCCGTTAAGGATAATAATTTTGTGCACGCAACTGTAATTTTTCGCAATTTCTCCCTTCGTTACAAGCATTTTGTTATTTTTAAAATAACAATAAATCATAATTTAAGTACTTACTGGTTTAAAAAAAATGAAATTTGTAATTTGTGAGATGTCTTGAATTATGGTAACAACGCCATCTTTAGAGCGGGATGTGAACTGTTTGACGCCGATTTCGAGCATTTACACCCCAAGAAAATAGTATCCATTTAATCAATAATGTAGTACGAGATATAAAAATATTTAATATTAATAATAATAAAAAAATCATGTAAATAGTACCTATTGTTTTTCGCAAAAAATAATAAAGTAATTATGTCATCATCGAATATTTTAGGCTATGAGTGCCATTAAAGTTTATATCATTCCTAGTTTATTTTTTTAATAATTAATTAATAGATAGGGTTGCCTATCATGTGGGATTATTGTAGGGATGTCACACACACGGAAAGAGTACGCAAGCCAGTTGCTAGTCGAGTTACAGGCTCAACTACTTTCTTCGTGTGAATTAAATTTTACGTACTTTTGTGGTTATAATATATTAATTATTGTTTGTTTAATAATAAAAGAATATTTAATTAGAATTTCAATGCAAAACGATTTGAAAAATTGTACAATAAATGATGTAGATACGGTAAGATGTCAATAATTATGTGAATGGTAATTATATCAACGAACAGACAACGATGTATTCAATTTATTATTGTAGTTATTCAAATAAATATAGTCTGTAACATATAATATAGTGATTTTCTTTTCTTTTTTTTTATGGCATAAGCCGGTAAACGAGCAGACGGATCACCTGATGGTAAGCAGTCGGCGTCGCCCATGGACACTTGGAACACCATAGAGGCGTTACAAGTGCGTCACCGGCTTTTTGGGGAGTTTGAGGATCGTTGGGGATTCAGGGATTGGGGAGATTGGGGAAGGGGAAGGTAATTGGGCCTCCGGTAACCTCATTCACACGACGAAAGACAACGCAAGCGTTGCTTTACGTCGGTTTTCTGTGAGGCCATGGTATCACTCCGGTCGAGCCGGCCCATTCGTGCCGAAGCATGGCTCTCCCACACTTAATGCAACAGCAGAACTGTGAAATACCCGACATTATTACTTAATCATAACCATACACCTACATAACCAATCATTCTCGGATATGTAGTACCTTGTTAATAGGGAATAGAATAGGAAACAGGTAAACGCCTAAAGTGGGGATGGATTAACCACACATTTCGAAGAGGTCCCAACCACATTCCTAAGTGAGCACTAGAATGGAATCTTCAGGGGAAGAAGAAGCGTGGCCGTCTTTGGCCAACCCTGGCGTTGCACAGTGATGGCAGAAGTGGCGAGCATCGGAATGACGTGGAGCGACACTTCGCTTCTCTAGCAATCTGCCCCATCTGGGACGTAGGACCGAATCAAGTAGGGAATAGTAGTAATAATCTCTGTAGTGGTTTTAATTGTATTCGAAAATAGCAATAGTAGTCATAAAATGTAATGAAATTTTGCTGGCATCCATATTTGTACTTTTTTTTTCCATAAAAGTCTCGATATAATAAAGTCAAAATCAAATTGTGATAGAGAGAATATCATAACAGGTCTATGTCAAGGACCAGTAAGACCCCAAATCATTAGAATTTTTGCTGGACCTTGAGAGGTATCTCAGCCTAAAGGACATTATGAAGGTTTTCATATAATATCACGCCCTTCATCTCCGAAGGGGTAGGCAGAGTTGCAAATTACGGCACTTATAATACCACTGAACAATGTAACACCCACTTTTCACTATTTATGTTATGAGTCCCATGTAATTGGGGGTGAGCCTATTGCCATATGCCGGGCACAATTCCAGGATCTATGCTACTAATGGATATTTTTAAAACCCAGTAATACTTTGCCCGACTCGGGAATCAAACCAGAACCCCCTTCCACGGCAGTCGGCAATTGCGACCAACAAGGCATGAAGATTTTCCTTCCTGAAGTACTTAAACCGTTCCTAAATAAATTTGCAGCAGGATAAGACCCAATAGTGCCATCTAGCGTTATAAAAAGCGCTTTAGGATCATCGATAGTAGACCATAAACAACTTTTACTCAAAACCGTCGAGTAAAAAGAGAAAGCACCTTGATCGATCCATGTTACAAGATTTGTTGTAGCTAGAACATAGATGTCAGCACTTCAAGATTGTTTGAAGATAATAATTTTCCGGATTATTGGTAGCAAGTGCGAATGTCGAGAAAAGGGTCTCTAGATCGATTCTGAAACTTTGCCTAATTTATAGCTTAACATAATATCACCACTTTTTATTGCATATGAACGGGTAGGTATGCACATTACGACACTTAATGCCACTTTACAATGTAAACTGTCACTGTTTATGTTATAAGTCCCATGTAATAGAGGGCGAGCCTATTGCCATATACTGGACACAATTCCAGAATCCGTGCTACTACTGAGAAATAATGGCTGAGACATTTTCACTAGTCTCATTGTTATTTTGTTTGTAATAGGTGCCATTCTCCTGAGGTGGTACAATCTTCAAAAATCTGGGGTTCATTCCCTTAAAGTGCTATATTATTTTAAAATCTGATTCAACTACGCTTTTATTCTCTATGCTTGTATTAATTCTTAATTAAAAATATGTTGCTTATGGGACGACGTGCTTCATCCAAAAGTGTGGGAGAGCCATGCTTCGGCATGAACGGACTGGCTCGACCGGAGCGATAGCACGGCCTCACAGAAAACCGACTTGAAACAACGCTTACGTTGTGTTTCGTCACGTGAGTGAGGTTACCGGAGGCCCAATTACCCCCCTCCCCAGTCTCCCCAATCCCCGAATCACCCACAATCCTCAAATTCTCACTTACCAAAAGACCTGTAACGCACTTGTAATGCCACTGGTTTTTCAGGTGTCCATGGGCGCCGCCGATTGCTTACCATCAGATGATCCGTCAGCTCGTTTACCGGATTTTCCCATATAAAAAATTGTAGACCGCATCATCGCTTACCACCAGACGAGATAGCGGTCAAACGTCGGCCCATCAAATATAAGAAAAAACAATGTAAAATTACTTCATCAATCACTTTTTCTCCAGCAGCTTCACCAAATACCACGCAATCAACTAAAAACTGAACAGGCGATTATTCATGGACATCCACAGCCTTTATGTCTTATATAAGTTCCGCAGCCGTAATAAGGCAAGAACTAAAGTATTTACGTCACTCCTATGTGTTACACGTTCACCCTACTTTCCTCTGTTTTTCACCTAAATACTTCACTTGTAACATTTGTAATTATAGTGTTAAATGGACAATTATACTTTAAAGTATGTCTTTACAATTTGTACCTAGTGTGAGAAGATTGTTACCTGTTATGTTTTTGTGTTACTGGGCCCTATCTAGTGGTTTTTACGATTACATACATAGGTACATAACATCACGCCTTTTATCCCCGAAGGGGTAAGCAGAGGTGCACAGTGCACATTACGGCATTTAATGCCACTGTACAATGTAACACCCACTTTCATTATTTATGTTATGAGTCCCATGTTATAGGGGGTGAGCTTATTGTCATATACCGGACACAACCAGACTGAATTTTTTCGTAGAATCGAACCAGAGACGCCTTGCCCGGCAGTCGCACTAGCGACCGTTGCCAACGAGCCAGTCGATTTTTACAATTACTCAGCCTAAATTCTATGATTTATTAATTGAAAGATATTTCATAAATATGGACTATTCAATAACGGCGTTAATTTTTTTATCTTTTATGGCATAAGCTAGTAAACGAGCAGATGGATCACCCGATTGTAAGCTATCGGCGTCGCCCATGGACACCTGGAACACCGGCGGTTGTAACGCCGCGTTACTGGCCTTTTTGGGATTAGGAGTTTGAGGATCGTTGGGGATTCAGGGATTGGGGAAGGAGAATTGGGCCTCTGGGGGAGGGGGTAATTGGGCCCTGAATAAACTGTCTGTCAGTTGTTTTGAAAGTAAAACAATTTATTAAAAATAAAATTATGTCGAAAAGAAACATTCTATGGTATGATTTCTCTTCAAGCTTATATTTGGGCGTATAACCAAATTTCCTTATCTGCAATTGGCTTATCTCTTATCATAATCACTACAAACAACATAAAAAGATTAACAATTACAGTTATTAGGGAAACAATGGCGGTTATCACTTGAGAGTGATCTTCAACAATTATGTAAGTTGATACTTGTACTACTGACAATGCCCTCTTTCCAGTTTTCAAAAGTTCTGAAATATTTTTTTTAATTTATATAAACCGACGTGAAGCAACGCTTGCGTTGTGTTTCGTCGTGTGAGTGAGGTTGCCGGAGGCCCAATTACCTTCCCCTTCCCCAATATCCCCACAATACTGTACGTATATGTGAGAACAATGCAAAGACACGCTTCACGCATTATACTAGTTACAAAACTTACAAAATAAAAAAAAATCAAACAACATATAGTGTAACATGATGCTCACATATGCATACTGACAATCCATAAGAATAGTGCTTCTATACAAGAAAAAGGAAACTCTTTGTTTCAATAAAGAAAGAAATGCTTTGTTAACTATTAAGTCCCACTGTATAAGGAACCACCTTGTGATGACAGGGATCGCATTTGTTAGTATTAAGATTATCTAGACACCACTCACAAACGGTGAAGGAAACATCGTGAGGAAACCTGGGTGTTCGGAGCAACGCAACCGAACAGCTCAGCATTTTACGTACAAACACTTTTATAAAAGGCATCGAATTTTACGTTCAATAGTAGTACGCAATCGCCGGTCTACTCGTACAAATCAAATCAAATCATCTTTTAGTATTAATCAGTTAAACCATCATTTGTAGAATTTAATATATTCTTAAATCAAACATAACTTAGTGTATTTTTTATCTCACCATTGATAATCAATAACTTGCAAACTCTATAAAAAGGGACTCGCTTCGTACGTAGTGACGCACCTTTTTACATGGTCCTTCGAGCCGGATCTCGGGTCGCGAAGTACAATTCGGAAGTACTGTTCGAAAGTGTTTTGTGAATCCGGGATCTTACTACCAGTAATTAGATAGAGATAATAAGCAGTGCACATCATCAGAGAACGCTACATCGAGAGTGGAGCTGAATCGTAAGGAGAATATAAGGTCAGACCAAACCATTTTATTAATTCATTTAATTGTCTTTGCATTTTAACATGGAGGCACTCTCTATCAACCAAACCGAGATCTACGACGCTTTAGTTAAATTCTTGACTAACTTCAAGAAAGATGGAGAAGATAGGAAAACCATAGATTACTGTAAGAGGAAATTAGAGCTATTAGAAAATTACTGGAGAGACTATCAACGGAATCATAGAAAGTGCTGTGAAACCGCTGAACTTGGTCATGAGTATTTTATTAATAATTGTTTCGATAAGGCCGAAGAAGTATATTTGACTGCCAAAATGTTAATTACGAAAACCATGGAAAATCTCTTGTCTAAGCAACATGGAGTTTACCAGCTGCCTCCAGAGGCAAGTGCGTCAAACCAAACGCCGAGCGTATCCTATTCTAAAACTAACCAACCACAGACTAATGCGAAGAGCGTAGAACGTGTCAGCAAATTGAGTGACATGATCAAAAAGCAAACCATCAACTTTAGAGCCTTTGAGAGAACTGTAGCTACTTTTGAAGTGGAGAAGTTACAGAACAAATGGGAGTTTGAGGATGCTCTGAAATGTCTTCAAAGTCGTTGGACTGTCATTGATAGTCTGCACTGGGAGATAGAAGGCGAAGACGGCGATGAAAACATGTGGTATCAAAATGAATTTAGCACGCATGAAAAAATTTATATAGAAATGAAGAAAACCATCAATTCGAAAATGTGGTCTGAAACACATCGGGATAAATCTACTCCAAAAATAGATATTCCAATCTTCCAGGGTAACTACCACCAATGGACTTCTTTTAAAGATTTATTTACTGAAACCATACACAAAAACCCATCTTTATCGAATGCACAAAAAATGCAGTATTTAAAAAGTAAAATCACGGGAGAAGCCGAGCGTTTGATCTACCATCTTCAAATTAGCTCGGAAAATTATGAAGTATGTTGGGAGATACTTAATCATAGATACGGTAACCAGAGGCTTATATTTACATCCCATCTTAATTTATTATTGAACTTACCAAACATGTCAAACCAAACAATGGAAATGTTGAAAAAGTTGCATGATGTAACCAAAGAATGTCTGCACGCTATACAAAATCTAGGCGTAGATATCTCCACCTGGGACCCACTCTTGGTTCATTTGTTAACCCAAAAATTAGATACTGAGTCGTTCTCCGAATACATGGAGTCAGTAAAAAACCCCAGGGCTTTACCTATTTTGCAAGAATTCCTTGATTTCTTGGAAAATAAATTTACCGCATTAGAGGCATCGAGGCGTAAACAAGAATCGAATTATCAGAAAACAAATCAACCATCTCATCAAAACCATTCATACCAGAAAAAGACTCTTCAATTTAACAACCATCAGCAATCTTCAAACAACAATAAATTCTATAACGGGAAAAATATCACGAGGACTATGCATGTCTCAAAACCAATAATATGCGCATTGTGTAATGCTGACCACGGATTATGGCTCTGTGCTCAATTTTTACAAATGTCGGATGAACGAAAATTAAAAACGGTTAATCAACTAAATTGTTGCGTAAATTGTCTATTTAATCACTTTAATAAACAATGTTTTTCGACGAAAAGATGTCGCAAATGCAACGCAAGCCATAACACTTTATTGCATGAAAGAATAATGATGAAATCGAAAACAAATTCGTCAGCAAAAATAAATCCTAAAGCTGAGACCATACCAACCAACGTCTCAACCACTCATGTGGCTCAGAATAATGTGACCGAAACCTTGTTGTCAACTGCAATCGTCAAGGTGACAGGAGCAGACGGCACTCAACATACCATGAGAGCTTTGATTGACCAAGGATCACAAATATCAATAATAAACGAAAATGCTGCTCAAATTTTGAAATTAAAAAGAAAGAAATGTAAAGGATCAATTTTTGGCATCGGGGAAAAAGAAAATAGTTGTAAAGGTGTAATGAACATTCGCATCCAATCTATATACAGTGACTTTGCACTGGAAGGAGAGACACTTATTATGAAAAGTCTAATTAAAAGCTTACCAAATAAAACTTTTGTTCGACCATCGTGGCCTCACATCCAAACTATTAATTTAGCGGATCCCGATTTCTATATCAGCCGTGCAGTGGATTTACTTCTGGGAGCCGATGTATACTGCAAGATAATGCTAGGTGGCATTTTAAGAGGAGATGATGAGGATCAACCAATTGCCCAGCAAACACAATTGGGATGGCTGCTTTGCGGGTCAATGAAACCCCAATACAACTGCAATGTTGTTCTTCATAATACAGATGAATTGCGCAGATTTTGGGAAAATGAAGATATCCACCAACAATATGAAATGTCCACAGAAGACCAGGAGTGCTTGCAATTTTTCTTATCAACCACAGAAAGGCTTAAAGATGGCCGATTCCAAGTTCGGCTACCATTCAAATCAGATTCAAAGGAACTACTGGGATCCACGAAACCATTAGCCTTGGCACAGTTTCGTAATCTAGAGAAAAAATTGCAAAGAAACCAGGAAGTGAAAAAAGAATACGAACTATTTATGAATGAATATATTACATTAAGTCATATGAAACAATCAAACACAAACATGAAACCTGAGTGCTATTTACCGCATCACAGTGTAATTCGAGCGGAGTCAACGACTACAAAGCTACGTGTCGTGTTTAATGCATCGGCAAGGTCGCTATCTGGATTAAGTCTTAATGATATCCTATATCGAGGCCCAAATTTACAACAAGATCTTCAGGAACTTATCCTCAAATGGAGACAGTATCAGTATGTTTTCACGGCGGATATTGAAAAAATGTACCGACAAATAATGGTGCATCCCGATGACCAACCATACCAAAAAATACTATGGAGAAACACCCAAAACCAACCTATTCAAACATATCAGCTTACTACCGTAACTTATGGTACGAAGCCAGCACCATTTCTAGCTATGATGTGTTTGAAGCAGTTAGCAACTGCCGAACAGAAAAATTATCCTACCGCAGCAAAGGCCTTAGAAGAAAGCTTCTACATGGACGATTACTGTGGAGGTCAACATTCAATAGAACAGGCAAACCAGCTAAAACTAGACCTTATAAAAATACTCCGCAAGGGGGGATTTAACTTAAGAAAATGGGCGTCGAACGAACCTCGGCTTCTATCGGATCTAGATAAAAGTTTATGTAACCAGCAAACGTATGAGTTCAAACAATCAGACTCCACCAAAACTTTAGGTCTCGCTTGGAACCCACAAAAAGATCAATTTATATTTGACTCCAAACTAGACCAGGAAGTAACAACAAAACTAACTAAAAGGTCTCTGTTATCGGACATTTCAAAACTGTTCGATCCATTAGGATGGCTCACCCCTTTGAGCATTAATATGAAGATATTATTTCAAACTGTGTGGTTATCCAACCTAAATTGGGATGATTCTTTACCAGAAGAAATAGAAACCAAGTGGTCTAAATTGAGAAGAGAACTAAGGGAAATCCATACCATAGAAGTAAATAGATGGCTTGGAATAAACCAAGATGAACAGGTACAACTACATGGTTTTTGCGATGCTTCGAATCAAGCGTATGCCGCTGTAATATACTGCCGAGTCAACAAAGGAGAAAGTTCTACCGTAGTTTTAGTCGCAGCTAAAGCTAAGGTAGTACCTATAAACAAAATCATATCGACACCCAGACTGGAGCTAATGGGGGCCCAACTATTATCGAAACTAATGCAAAAAGTAGAAAATAGTTTAGAAGATTATAACATATTAAGTTATTGCTGGACCGACTCAACAGCTGTTTTAGGGTGGATCCAAGGAGATCCTGCGAGATGGAAACCATTTGTAACCAATCGCGTCCAAGCTATTACCCAGCTAATACCATCAGAACATTGGAAATATGTTAACACTAGCGAGAATCCAGCGGACTGTGCAACTCGTGGATTGACCACTAAACAATTGAAAGAACATGAGCTGTGGTGGCACGGCCCGTCCTGGATTAAATCCTTTCAAAACCAAAATACCACTCAAAAAACTTACAAAACTGACTTGGAAATCAAGAAATCATCTATGACTCAATCAAACGCAGTGGTCGTAAAACAACAAACGACATCAATAATTTTAAACATTATTAACCATTTATTATCCAAGTTTAGTTGCTATGCAAAAATAATCCGTATTTTTGCGTGGATATTACGATTACCCACGGTAAACAAAATGCGTTCAACCTATCTCACGTTACAAGAGCTACATCGTGCAAATACTATATTTATCAGGAATGTTCAACAAATAGAATTTGCTGAGGACATAACTTCCTTAGTAAACAAAGGAAAATTGCATTCGAAAAGTAAACTTATAAATTTAAACCCGATTTTAGACCAAGATGGGATTATAAGGGTAGGTGGTAGATTAAGAAACGCTAACATAAATCCTGAAATGAAACATCCAATAATATTACCACATAATCACAGAATTACCACATTAATAATAAAACAAGCTCATGAATTAACCTTCCACGGTGGAGCGCGCCTTACATTATCTAATATTCGACAAAAATATTGGATCATCAGCGGATATATGGCTACTAAAAAGTTTATAAGACAATGCATTAAATGCCACAAACAACAACCTAATCGACAGTACCAACTTATGGGCGACTTACCATCACCCAGAGTAAATCCTGCGATGCCCTTTCACCACTGCGGCATCGATTATACCGGATTTGTGGAAATCAAATCAAATAAAGGCCGAGGAATTAAAACCACTAAGGGATACATTGCAATCTTCGTGTGCATGGCAACAAAAGCTGTGCACTTGGAACTTGTATCCGACCTCACCAGTTCAGCCTTCTTAGCTGCACTTAACAGGATGGCAGCGCGGCGTGGAACACCACGTCATATCTATACCGACAATGGTACCAACTTTGTCGGAGCAAATCGAATACTTCAAGAAGAGTACGAGTGTCTTCAACAAACATTTAACGAAAGCTTCTACAAAGAGATTACCGAACTTCAAATTGAATGGCACTTCAACGCACCGTCGTGTCCACACGCGGGAGGACTTTGGGAAAGAGCCGTACGAAGCCTTAAGCACCACCTCAAGCGTGTTATCGGCCATCAAAAGCTCACCTTCGAGGAATATTGCACACTTTTGGCAAAGCTGGAGGCATGTCTTAACTCTCGTCCACTCTGTGCGCTTACAGAAGATCCTGAAGACCTCGATTTC